TAAGACTTTCTACAATAATTTCTCCCTTTTTTTCAATAGAGCTTTTAGCAACTTCCCTGAATGCTGGCCATGACCGAGAAGCAAGGGAATAGACTTCTCAATGCCCAAAGCTCCAGGAGCAGTTCCTCTCTGCCTACAGGCCTGAAAGAGAGTAGAGTCTAGTGGAAAGACTACATAGAGGTTTTGGGATAAGTCTGTTCAGAAGAGCCCTGCCTTTGCCATTTACTACTTGTGGATAATTGGGGAAGTGACTTTGAGTCACTTTAGTTCCAGTTTTTTTCAAGTGCAACACAGAGACATTGAAAACCAATTTGCTAAAATTGAATAAAGTCTTATGTGGTTGGCATAATATAGTAGTGGTCCCCAGAGCTAGTTACACATCAGAATCACTGAGGACTTTTGAAAAATAGAGATTTCTGAACCATATCTCATTGTACTAAATCAAGAATTCCACAGGCAGGGGATACAAATTTAAACTGAATGTCACTAAAACATGTACCTTTGGATGCATTTATAATTTTTATACAGAAGTAAGCAAAAACAAAAAAACTCAGGAATACTCATTAGTAATTGACATAAACAACACTATTGAGTCATTTAATTTCTTGGGTAGAAAGTCCTGCCTTCCAATTAGACTGCAAACTTCTTGAAGACATGACTATGTGTGTTAATCACCTAGCATCCAAAGATTATTCACACAGGAGTTATGGGATAAATCTGCTAAATAAATTAATTAATAAAGGCAATAACTAATTATGTAAATAAAAAAACACCAACAACATTTTATAACAATGAAATTGAAATACTGGGACCTTGATAGAACATTATTCCTGACAAAGCTAACTTCTAATAAAACCATCACATGTATCCAAGTAGTTTTAGTTACAGAAATACTAAAAGAATCTTACTTCCAGGTACCTAATTTATCATATGGTTGCATGATATATGGATAAATAAAGGTTTATAAGGAACTTCAGGATATGGACCCAATGGCCTCTAAAATTCCTCCAGCTTCTCTATGAGTAAGTTGCATTTACACTCTGTCATAAATGATGGATTGCATTTAGACAGAATAATTATGAAAGAATATTCTAGGGAAGGTAGTCATATTTATGATGATTCTTCCAGCAGGGAATGAAATAAGACAAAGATAAGCAAAACAGCTGAGAAGATTTTATTGTTGTTAGATGCTATCAACTCAGCCCTGGCTCATGGAGATCTCAAGCACAACAGAATAAAAAACCGCCTAGTCCTATGCTGTGAAGAGAATTTCAGCAAAACATAAAAGCAGAAAAAGATTGAGGGTATTAATAAGTGGTTATTATCCAAAATTCCTGATTAATATCAAAAGGATTTTGTGGTGTAGTGAATTATTTAATATGTCTCTTCTAGCCACACTCTTTGCAAACTCTCACCAAACAACATTTTGCCCTGATAATTCTGGGTAAGAGAAGGTGTGAGAAAAATTTGACAGGATTATATAATTCAGTTGTGAGTAGCTAACAGGGTTAACTGTGATTGTAAAACCCGGAACTCTAGTGTGTATAAAATGAACCATCTCAGAAGCAGCAATGGGGGATTTCACCACCATCAAAGAAAAACCAGGAGTGGAGCATGTCCTTTGAGCCCCAAGACTCCTGTTTACTGAACTCATGAACCCAGAGATAGAATGTTGTGATATCAGAGAAGCAGGAAAGCAACAGCAGCAAACCAAGAGTCAAAGTACAAGATGGGGCAGTGGGCATCCCAGCCCACAGAGCAAGTACAGCTGAGTGACTTTTAAGGCTTGCTGAAACAATACGGTGCATCCAGGCACTTAATTAGTGGGGTGGGGTGCTAGGTTTGCTGACCCAAGGAGCTGGGTCAGGCTGACACTTAATGGTTCAGTGGTACATCCTGTGGGCATTTGTCAGCAGCCCTAAAAGAGCCAGGTGAAGAAAGGCCTTCCTGTGGGCACAGCTGAGCAGAAGCAGTCCTGATTAGAACTGTGCACTGAGCATTTCTGACCATGATCTGTAACCTGGCAATTTCCCTAATAAAGCCCATAACTGTGATTATGGTGTCTGAGTTTTGTGTGACCAGTGCAATGAATTAATGAACCCAACTGAGTTGAGTACTGTGGGTAAATGGTTTGGTGTCTTTTTGTTTCAGATTTGGCCATGCCATTTCTTGCCAAAAGAGTGCTTTATAGAGATGAGTAAAAACAGAATAGCTGCTGAATTTGTAAGCACATGCTTAATGGATTCCTGACTCCACTATATCATATTTTATAGGATATCCTAGTGACAAGCTATGGTTTAACAGTCTAATGGAGAGTTAAAAAACATTCCTTCGTGCACTGATGAGGTTCATTTTAACCATAAGAAATTATCATGGGGCTGACTGTTGGTCTGGTTAAAATCAGAGTTCAACATTTCAAAGTATGGATAAACATGATAGGGTACTTCTCTAGAAAAGAGATCACAGGGTCCATTATTGAAATCTGCGAGGAAGAGAGGAAAGGAAACTGAGGGAGAGAGAAGTATGTACATACATATATAATGGATAGTGTAGTTACACATGAAAGCATAATGGGGACTATTTTGTTTCTTCAACATAATATGAAACTGAATAGAAGTTAAAGCGGATTAGACTTAAAAGAATGTGTACAGGAAGAGCAAATTTTTAAAAACCCTCTTCTCTGTTATGTGCCATTGAGTGGTTCCAACGCATTCTGAGGTTATAATTCAAACTCATCTTTCTCTGCTGGAGCAGCTGGTGGGTTTGAACTGTTGACCTTGCAGCTAGCAGCAAAATGCATAAATTGCTATGCTACTAGGGCTCCTCTTCTCTAATGTTGGTGGTTGTATACCACCAAGTCAGTGCCACTCATAGCGACTTTGTATATGGTTTCTGAGGCTGTAAATCTTTAGAGAAGCAGAAAGCTTCATCTTTTTTCCCATGGAGCAACTGGGAGATTTGAACTGCTGATCTTGCAGTTAGTGGACCAGCTGGTAATTGACTATGCTAACAAGGCTCCTTTATTCTCTAATTGTTAAGTGCTGTTGAGTCGTTTCCAACTCATAGCAAGCCTGTATAGAGAGTTTCTATGGAGTAGTCCAGTGTTGATCCTACAGTGCTACAAACCATTACTCCTTCTCTAATGTTGTTGTTGTTAAGTGCTATTGAGTAGGTGCTGATACATAGCGACCCTGTATAGGGTTTCCGAGGAATGGCTAGTGAACTTGAACCATCAACTTTGTGGTTCAAACTGACTTTGCAGTCCAGCACATTAACCCACATAGTAGTATCAAAATTAAAGTAGAAAAACTCACATTATCATTGTTGTATGCCATTAAATCATAGAGACCCTGTAGGACACAGCAGAATTGCCCCCATAGCATTTCCTAGACTATAAATCTTTACAGAAGCAGACAGTCAGGTCTGTTGTATCTCAAAGCCGCAGTGCACTTAGCCATTGCACCACATGGGCTCCCTGTAAAAGGGACACATGCAGTTATATCTGGGATGCTCTACTCACAATAGGCTATTAATAAGAACCTCATTAATATGTAAAGAAATTTGAAGAAAATAGGATAAATAATATAAAGCTTTTTAAGTGTGAGCTAAATACAAGAGGAAGTATCAATTAGATCAACAGGACAGGCTAGTGAGGTTTTCTTTAAATATCAAGGACAAAACAAAAGATACTCAAGGAAATCTACAATTAATCATAGGTATAAGATACAAGAAAAAGAAAGAAAAGAACGGGATTTCTGGTTCTACATAATCATTATTTAGATGTAGTCATTAAGAAAACCACACTTATTGAGGATATTTGGGTCTACAATCATAGCAAGAGAAAGCAAAATAACTGTGTACAATGTGGTTTAGAGCAAAAGCTTGGTCTTTAGATGCAGAGCTAGATCCAGAAAGTGGCACTACCACTTCCTCTCAGTGTTAAACAGCAAGTTAATGGAATCTCTATGAGTCTGTTTCATCATCTATAAACAATACCCATCTCTTGCAGAATTGTTGTACTACAGATAATTCATCTAAACTGCCTACTCTAGCACTAGGCTGGTGCTGCTGTTAATATAAAAGTTAATATGGAGGGGCTTCAAAACTTCATGGAAAAATGAAATGAAACATAAAGGAATTTTTCCTCAAACTTGTTGAAGCTATCTTATATTGTTAGTTGTATAATTATCATGCTGTGATAGGACTTAAGTCAGTAAATATTTATTGGGCATCTATTATGCCCTGGTACAGTGCTGTAGGATAAACAATAGACTGCTAACCATAAAGTTGGTGGTTCAAATCCATGAGCTACTCCTTGGAAACCCTATACAGGATCGCTATTAGTTAGAACCAACTTGATGCCACTTAACAACATTACATGCCAAGGTGGTTCTACAAAGTGCTAGGAAATCATGGAAGACACACTGAAGGCATTTCTTTTCAAGGTAAAATAAAGTCTAAGAAAAATAATATAAACCAATATAAAATGTTTTAACAGCATTTTACTTCTTTTGAACGGTTTAAAAATGTTTTCTCTTCTTGTGAGACAGAAGCTTTGAAAATACACAATATGCCCAACCTCGATACACATACTGCAAACTCGAATTATCAGCAACATAATAGTTTTAAAACTAGATATTAGGGGCACTAATGAGACAAGAAAAAATCTAGATTGGAATGCGAGGAGCAATCTATCACCCCAAGGCCCATCTAAATCAAAGTGTACTCCTTGGCTCTAAGATAAAGGTATTGGTATCACAGTTTGTACAAAATGTGATCTCCACATTCCATCTCTATGCCCTAGAGCAATGTGAGGTGAAAACAGCAAGACCTAAAGAACATACAGCTTGAGAGGGCCAAAGTACCCAAGTGAAAGAGTTTAAAGCTCAAACACAAGAGACAGTTACTCAAAGAATTTAAAAGAATCAGTTAAAAAAACTAAAGCCCTTATAATATAAACTGAATATATAAATCTCAAATTAACAATTATTTCCATTTACCTGATTGTTTAGAATTTCTTTCTTTCCACTGAATATTTTTGCATTTGATCTGGTTTTGTCTCTCTTTTCGGAGTCGTTCTAATCTTTGAGCTTTAAAAGAAATATTATAACTATAAGTTTGTCAATGAAAGTTTACTATAAACAGTGACATAATTAACTACCTTTATATGAATAAAGATGTTTTATATTGCATATGTAAGAAAAAAGTCATAAAATTTTAAAGGTGGCACCCCTGAAAAGCAAATACCAACAAAAACATGAAAATATTCTTGATTTATAATTGAAATTAGAGGATATAAAACATTAATAGAGATCATAAAGATAGTATTAACATGGAAGAGAATAATAAAATGTGAAAACTTGTGTGATTAATATGACATTTCATTATATAAATCATTAATAACGGTCTTAAAGGAATTTTAATGCACAAATGAACTGAAGTGAATATTACATTACAGGAATAAAATTACTGTTATGAATTACTCTATCCGTTTCAAAAATTAAAGATAAATGAACTCAGACTAGACTATTAAAGTTTTAAATATAAAATCCTTTATCTAAAAATCATGAAAATTATAAAATGTCAAAGCTATATAAATTAGCATAGCTTTTCTTCAGTGGGTTGAAACAGTTTATAGGTAGTAAAATAAATGATTTGTATCTTTGTAACATTAGTCAAATCTTAAAAAGAACAATTTTTCTTTCACAAAATTTTTAGATATGCTGAAGGGATGAAGAAGTAAATTCTTCGGCAACTACAACACCCAGGTATCTCAATTAATTATACATTTAAGGAATACCTAAAGAAATTCCAACAATAGTCACCTAAAATTATGTATTTGTGATTATAATACCACTGGCTGATCAACCTTCAAAAGTCAATGAGATGATCCTTTAAAAAAATAATGTCTGGCATATATTGATATGCAATACTTGTGAATACTGAGACCACCATGGAAAAAGTCACAATTGATGCTACTTCTTGAAATTAGTATTCTCTTATTTTGGCTTCCTACTTAGGCACAATGCTTTAAAAAGGGGGAAGGGGAGAGAATAAAGGCCCATATTTCCCTTTCAACCACTTTCTAGATAGAAAATTATGCATTTCTGCCTTCCTTGGTACTACGGTAGGGAAACACTAAAACTAATTTTGCCAGAAATTTCAACAATGCTGGTAAAAGTATTCTGACAATGTCACTATATCTAACCAAATTCCATTGAAGAAAAATACATTCAATTGCAATTAATAAATGTGAAGGGTACAGCCAAAATAATATAATCATAAACCTCTCAATTTAGCAGCATTCTCCTACTAAAATCCATTCAACTTGTCATATAAGATATAATCTCAATAACTTGCAAGGAAGTCAGTTTTAACTAGAGAACTGAGAGTCAATGGTTCTAAACTGTATTCAAACTATCACTCAAATCCCATTTTGATAAAAGTTCCTTTAGATACCAGGAAATTATGCTCATCATGAGAGCAAATTATTCTTTGTGGATGTCAACGACTGCTGAAATCTGAACAAACTTAAATATGACTTTCAGTGTAATCATATCCAACTCTAACTACAATACTCCTTTTCCTTTCTGTACATTTTACATTTGGACTATAAAAATAAACATTTATATATTTTTAATGTTGTACTATGCCTCCTCTGCTATTACCTTTCCTGGAAGTTAGCAGGATATTGCTGTTGGTAAGGAGGTTATACTTTGCGATTATCTAAAAAAAATTAAAAATTATCTCCTAGAATACCCTATCATATTTGAACTACTGTAATATTTATTTAAAATATTCATCTAAATTCAGGACTTGGTTCACTACATTCCCTTTATAAGCACTCCAAAAAATATAAACTGAAAAATGAGCAGTGATAACCATTTAAAAGGTAATGAAAAAAATGTACCAAAGTTGAGCCTTTTTAAACTACAAAAATCACAATGTGTTGACCAATTTAATTATCAAAAAAAAAACAAAAAAGAGAGGCACCTTTTCTAAGTACACACCCAATTTAGAAATATTCAGCTATACCATCCCCACTCCCTCAAATTCTCCAGGGGCAAGAACTGTGTCAGACAGCAGTCTATAATCCTTGGCTAATCAGTTCTCTATATTAAATGTTAACCTGAAATCTTCCTCTAGCTTAAATCTACTGGAACTGCTACTCTTTAAAGACATGCAAAACAATTATGCTTCCCTTTCTATATGATGAATTTTTAGAAACAGAACATCTAACATGTCTCCTGTAGTCAACTTCTGCTTCTTCTGTCTACTTCAGAATAACATAACTCCAGAGCCCCTTCTCCATTCACAGTTGAGATGAAGATGTTGCTCAAACTCAGTCTGACACATGGTCATGTCATGTCTATCCCTATTAATACACACAATCTTCCTCATTAAACCTTTCCCAACATTATGCATTATTTTATAAAGGTTGTTTACTGATTTAAAGCTCAGAAAACATGACTAAAAGGCAATTGTTTACCTGTGTTTGAGCGTCTTCTAATACCAAAGTCCCAACTTGAGGTAATATCAACTGACTGGGCATATACATAGCCCTGAGTTTCACCATTGCTTCCCTGAATTTCTGACCCATTGTCTCCAGGCATGGAAGGAGGATGAATCTTCTCTAGGTCAACATCATGATCAATGAGAACCATCTCACACATTCCCGTGTCATCACTGGTCACATGTGACTGTAGAATATGAGCTAGAATAATAGTTGGATTGTCCAAGAAGGCCATCCTTTCTGTGGGCCAATTTCTTTTAAAAGGCTATTTTCTTCTCTTCATATTGTTTCACAGGCTCACCTACCTAGAAACATGATGTACACAGCAATATTTAAGAATAAAGCAAAAAAAAAAAAAAAAGAATCATTTTTCAAACAACTTCAATGTCATAAAGTGCTACCTTAAAATCAACATTTATCCCTGTATTTGTGAGCTTAGAAGAATTATGTCAATGTTTAAAGGAAATCCTTATAAGCACTAGGAACTACAATTCCAGTGAAATAGACTGCCATGGAACCAGAGGTTTGCTCTCTTACGAAACAAATATACTAACTCCTTTGCCAGGCTACTCAATACATACATAACTACTGATAAAATAATAAAATAATAAATCCTTTCTTTCTGGCTTCATTCCTGTGTAGTCTTATTACTTTTAAGGTCATGAGGGAACAAGTTGTATTTTCTACAAATGTTGTGTTAGAAGTATAAAAAGGCACAGACAATACTTTCTGAGTTCCTAGGGACTTTATAAGAAAGAACTTACCACCAAAATAATTTTTCTCAACAAGCATATTATTTTCATTTCTTCTGATTTAAAATAGTATTGTACTTTCAAATTAGGCTGCTACAAAATTGATTTATTTTAGAACAGCTTACTAAATCCTATTAAAACTGTAACGATGTGTCTTTCTGGGAACAGGATGGTACCTAAACAACTAAATGGTAATACTTGGCAATGAAAACATTACAGAATAGTGATTAGGAACGTAGGCCTAGAGGATGATATGGGTTCAAATTCTGACCCTGTCACTATGTTAACTAGATTGATAAAAATATTCAACCTCTTTGAGTGTGTATTCTCTTTCCTTTAATAAAATGGGGTTCAAAGAATGAGAAAAAATTAATTATATATGATGTAATTCAGGTACTGCTCAATTAAACAACTGGTGGACAAAAGTTGTTGCAAGTACCATTAAGTCGGTTCAAACTCATAGCAACTATGTCAGGGTTTCCAAAGAGTTGCTAATGAATTTGAATTGCCAACCTTGCGAATCAAACAGAACTTGTGATCCAGTGCTTATCCTACAGCACTACAAATAAATGATTGTTGTTGTTGTTGTTAGGTGCCATCAAGTCAGTATCGACTCATAGTGACCCTGATCAAACAGAATGAAACACTGCCTGGCCTTTGCCAACCTCACAGTTGTTGCTAGGTTTGAGTCCACTGCTGCGGCCACTGTGCCAATCCATCTAGTTGGGGTCTTCCTCCTTTTCTTTGACCTTTCACCTTACCAAACATGATATCCTTCTCCAGTGACTGGTCCCTCCTGACAGTTTGTCCAAAGTAGGAGACACGAAATTTGGCCATCCTGATCATTCTGGCTGCACTTCTTCCAACACAGACTGGCTTGTTAAATAAGTAGTTGGTTATTGTTGTTTTTGAGTGCTGTCGAGTCAGTTCTTACTCATAGTGACCATGTATAGAGTTTCCAAGGAGAGGTTAGTGAGCTTGAACTGCCAACCTTGCATTTCAAACTGACCTTGCAGTCCAGCACATGACCCACAGTGTCACACCAGGACTCCAAATAAATGGGGGTACTGGTAGTTGTTATGTGCCGTGGAGTCAGCTCCCACTCATAGCGACCTTGCATAGGGTTTCCGAGGCTAAAAACCTTTATGGAAGCAAACAGCCTCATCTTTCTCCTGTGGGACTACTGGTGGTTTGGAACTGCTCACTATGGGGTGAGCAGCCTGACTCTTAACTACTATGCTACAAATAAATGGTAACTGTTATTAATAATAATAATGACAATGGTAAGAATATCATTACCAATTACAGTTTTCAATTCCTGCGCAAAGGAATCTTAAAATGTATCAGTATGTCATCTTTCTTTTAGTATTTTCACAATATGTGAAACAATTCAGTGTTTCCTTTATGACAGAACCTCTATAGGGCTTCTGGGTCACCGGATTGCTCCTCAAAAACCATTAAAAAAATGCAAGGATTGTGAAAACTAAATTGAATATGTTCCTAGGATAGTTTAAGAAGGTATTTACTTTTAGAGAGACTTGATAGCATAGTGGTTACGAATTGGGCTGCGAACCTTAAGGTCAGCAGTTCGAAACTACCAGCAGCTCCGTGGGGGAAAGATGAGGCTTTCTGCTCCCATAAAGATTTACAGCCTTGGAATCCCTGTATAGGGTCTCTATGAGTCGGAAGCAAAACAATAAGATCAGGATGTCTACCTGTGCTTTACTGACTACTCAAAGGCTTTGGATTGTGTGGATCATGACAAGCTATGGACAACACTGCAAAGTATGAGTATTCCGGAACACTTAATAGTGCTCATGAGGAATCTGTACATGGACCAAGAGGCAGTTGTTCAAACAGCACATGGATACAGTAAATGGTTTAAAATTAAGAAATGTGTGCGACAAGGCTGTATTCTTTCACCCTACTTATTCAACCTGTATGCTTAGCAAATAATCTGAGAAGCTGGGTTATATGAATAAAAATGTGACATCAGGATTGGAGGAAGACTCATAAACAACCTGAGATATGCAGATGATACAACCTTGCCTGTTGAAAGTGAAGAGGACTGAAAACTCGACAGACACAGAAGAACTAAACAACACAATCAGCCAACTGGACCTCATAGATGTGTACAGAGCATTCAACCCAACAACAGCACAATACACTTTCTTTTCCAATGCAACATAACTTAAAAGCATCAATTCTTCTACAGTCTTCCTTATTTACTGTCCAGCTTTCGCATGCATATGAGGTTATAGAAAATACCATGGCTTGGGGCGGAGCGCACCTTAGTCCTCAAGCTGACATATTTCCTCTTCAACACTTTAAAAAGATCTTGTGCAGCAGATTTGCCTGAAGCAATACGTCCTTTGATTTCTTGACTGCTGCTTCCATGAGTGTTGATAGTTGATCCAAGAAGAATGAAGTCCTTGACAACTTCAATCTTTTCTCCATTGATAAGAAT